TGAACGAACTTATGCTAATCATAAATCTATCGATCATAAATCTATCGATTAGATTTATGATTCGAAAATTATAAAAGTAGGAAAAAAGTTTTCCACAGACCTTATTTCGAGCTATTTTCCAAAACCCTATGGAGAAATCCCATTGCTTTTTTGTCGAGGGAATCCAAGCGCAGCTTACTTCCGGGTTTTAGGACGCGTCACTGCACCACTATTATGGCGCATTTCCACTACAGCGCGGAGCACGGTTTAAGCCGTTTTTGGTTGCGTTTCCACTAGGCGTAGTTCCGGCTAGCGGGTACTTTTTCACAGTTTTCTGGCCAACAACCGGGCTGAGTATGCTAAACTAGTGAGAGAATCGCTGGCCCACATTGAAAATGACTTAGGCCTACCTTTGATGATCAATTCACTTAAACACAAAGTCCATCCTCCTGTCCTTTTGGATGAAGCACTTGATGGCGGGGTCATGCAGCTGATCCTTTGCCACTCCAATTTATCATTGTAACTCAATCTTGAAAATGACTCGGTTAATAATTTCGCAACGATGTCATCACTGAAATGAGCCATCATGAACGAACTTATGCTAATCATAAATCTATCGATTAGATTTATGATTCGAAAATAATAAAAGTAGGGTAGACATGTGGATATTATCCGGCTGAACAAAACGTGCATTTATCTAACAGGTTCGTTTTCCACAGACCTTATTTCGAGCTATTACATCCATGAGAAATCCCATTGCTTTTCTGTCGAGGGAACCCGAGCGCAGCTTACTTCCGGGTTTTAGGACGCGTCACTGTACCACTTGCATAAACCTCACAGTGGGCGGAACTTGTCATAAAGTCAGCGAAAATAAACAATAGTATGAAGCTGCAGCGTCGGAGGACTCCCAGGACCCTAGTTGTTTTGCAACATCGCCACCTAGCGGATTGGATGACCGCAAAAGTAGACATTGTAATGCTTGTTATTAACCATCTAAAAATGCATGAATATTGCAAAAGTAGACATTTACATGCATGAAAATATGTTTTTATTATTATTATTATTATATTTATTATTGTTTATTTTATTTATTTTTTACAACAACAATTTGTTGTTAATATGTTTTGGTTTTTTAATAACAAATGTATTTTGTATGTCAGATGTAAAAAGATAGTCTTTTATATTTGTCTCATCAAATTTGACATACAACGTAAATATATATATATTGTAGTAATAATGATATAATCTATTTATAATTGTAAATGTATATTTATTATATATATTTTTTTATTGTATTACACGTTCTAAATAAATCAAATCAAATGTGTCTTTGAAGAGGTGCTAGATTACTGAAAAACAACTGTTAGTGTGTTTATGCACCAGGCTGCAAAAGATAAACATACAATTTGACCGAGAGGCATTTCAGTGCAGAATACATTTATTGGGCACAATTTCCACACTGTGGATTCTTCAATCTGCTGTTGACCACCTTCTCCTGGGAGATATCCATTCTGGCACTCTGTCGTGGCACTCTGAACACTGGCTGAAGGGTTCCCTCGAGCAAGCTTCTGGCCTCCAGAGTCCAGAAGGCAAACCTTTGGCCATGCCTATGAAACAATAAGAACAAGATGTAATCTAAAGTATTGCATAGGGAAAGGCTAAGGCATTGGTGCACAATTGATATGCATTAATAATCTCAACAGATATTGCCATCCAGAGTCTTACAGCTCTTGTTACTGATGGTCAACTGATCTGTAGATGGTTAACCTAATATAACTAACAGATGTTCTATTGACATGCTACTGAGTTTGTTGACAGATTGTAGATAATCTACAAGTGACCCTCAAAATCAAGTGTTACTGAAATTAAAACACACATATTGTTAAGGGCTTTCATACCCTTGTATTTCAAAACGCTCCATGAGAATAATAATAACTGACTAAAACACCTCATGCAATATTGCAAAACATGTCAGAATTATGAGACTGTCTGATAAACAGTAAACAGGCAGTCAGCACAGTTAAGATTATTTACAATGAATTCAAATAGTAATACAATGACTATTAAAGAAGCATTTACACTGAAGACAGAACTTAGGCTACTGCTGATTTAATGTAGCGGACAGACAGATCATATTGACATGCTTTTGTCATCCTTTGAAGTTTAATTAATTAGCTGACTATAATTAATGATCAGAGTTGGGAAGTTTACTTTTTTTAAATGTACTAGGTTACAGATGACTAATTACCTTGTTAAAAATGTAATAAGTAATGTAACTGACTATGTAACTATTTGTATTGATATTCTAATGTTAATTATGGTTATTTTATGTTTTTTGTGAGTCACTTTGGATAAAAGCCTCTGCTAAATAACAACCATAACATACGGTTTCATTAAACAAATAAACAAAAAGGCTAACAGTTGGTTTTGCAGCGAGTCATCATAGGCTAACAGATGACATTTAGCACGTGTTGCTTGTATTGCTGTCCAATTGAATACACCAGAATAGTTGTTCACTTTAAACAAACAACATGATTCACATTACTCACACTCTTACTGTAATTAGTGATTAAATCAACAATTAATGTAGGACACCTATGGGCTTGCCAAAATCACGCTACAGTTTCATTAAACAAATAATCAAATATGCTAACGAAACTAATGCTTTTGCTAATAATGCTTTTACCGAAAGCTATAGCTAACGAATAATTGTTTTTAGTGCCTTTAATACTGTTAGAAGCTATCATAAGCTAACAGATGTTTGTTTGTATTGCCTTAAGACTATCATAGTTAATGTTAGCTAATCACACTTCATTTCAAGACACCGGAATTGTTATTAATGTTAAACAAATAAAACTTTAAAAGCACTTCACATTACTCACACTCATTGCGTTGTCATTCATATTCAGGTCTCCTGCTCGCTAGGTGGCAGTGTCACGAAAAAATAGGGTCCTGGGAGTGCGGTCCTGGGAGTGCAGTCTCCGACGTTGCAGCTTCATGCTACTCAAAATAAAGCCCACCCATTTAGAGGGAGGATATGATTGGTCAATTGTACTGTCATTTGACATTACTCTCTCATTGAGTTACTATAGCTGGCCCTCTGTGAATGTACAGAGGGACCAACAAGCTCTCCCGTCTTCACAGTAACTCGCAGAGACGGCATTTAACATTTAACATTCCAACAGAAACTGAACAGGCAGATTCGAAGGATTTATTTCTTTGGAAATGTTATTTTAAATACAATTAAATTAAGTTATTTTGGTAAAACTAATGAAAAATGTAACAAAAAATATATTAAAAATAATATTAAAAAAAAAAAACTTTACATTTTTTTTTCAAATATTATTTTTTAGAATATCTTAGGCCCTCACAGAGGGCCTAGAGGGCCCTGACGGCTCGCCACTGCCAATGAATGTTAATCGAACTGGGTTTTGATAGATAACATATCTCTTTTTCTTCTCTGAATTATTTTATTTCTATTGTCAGTGGCGTTTTTATATGTACAAAAGTGGTGGGGCACAAAAAACTTAGATGTCTATAAGCTTCTGCAGTGACGTGCAGTGAGGTTCATGGCTGGTGAGGCACTGGCACTGACTCTTCAGGTTTACAAATCTTATATTTTGACCTAAACCAAAATATAATATTATTTTCAAAAGCTTTTTTTGTCTGATGCTTCGATTAATTTTAAACAGACAGTTCAACAAAAGGATACCCAAAAAATGTAATTTTATCATTTAAATATTGAATTGTTCTCTCTTAGTAAGATCCCATTTTCAAAAAATTGCGGTCTTACCTTGACTTGAAGATGAAGTCCATTTGCCTATCCTTCTGGACAAAAAATTCTATAACTTTTTTGTAAAAGTCCTCCTTATCTTCTTGTAGTTTCAAAAGTCTATCATAAATCTAATCGATAGATTTATGATTCGAAAATTATAAAAGTAGGGTAGACATGTGGATATTATCCGGCTGAACAAAACGTGCATTTATCTAACAGGTACGTTTCCCACAGATCTTATTTCGAGCTATTTTCTAAAATCCTATGGAGAAACTTCATTGCTTTTTTGCAGCTTACTTCCTGGTTTTAGGACGCGTCACTGCAGCTCTCGTCTCCTCTTATTATACATCCATGCTCTTCACACACCACACTTTTCGCGGCACACGTACTTACAGCCAATCAGCTCTGAATGATGTGAGATGACGTATGGTGGGGATGGCAGCTCTGTGCCCCTATGGTGTTTTTTTTTTTGCCACACACATTACATTGAAAAATACTCTGAGCATGCGCAGTGTAGTTTTTACAGTCACCGTTCACTTTGACAGTGAAAGGGTGGGGCATGATCAGGTTTTGTCCCACATGGCTCAAAACGGCACTGTAGACACTAATTAGAAGAACACAGACTAAAACAGCAATGTACAGACGAATCAGATGATTAAACATGACCTTAAAATATATTTTATATTTTTTTTTATTTCTTTTTTTGCATCTCTTTCCATTTTTTGTAATCATTATGTGTAATACTTTCTGCTGACACTAGGTGGGGCTGTGCCCCACCTGCCCCTAATGACCAGTCGCCACTGTCTATTGTGCACTCTAATCAATATTAATCCAACTATTGTTCGTTTATACATTTTAAGAATGGCGTTTATCTTTTTTGAGAATGAGTTCTTATTTTATTTAATGTATTTGGGTCTACAACAGATGATACAAATGTTTGTGTCAGTAAATGTGTACTAACAGAGGCGGGGGTGTTTGTGAAAATAACGGGGACAGAGCTGCTGTCAGACGAACAGCTGTGCGGCGTCATCACAAACGGACGTCGCTTCACGTGACGCTCCGGAGGAAAGGACGTCCCATTGCTCTTAAAACTCATTTCCCTGCTTCTCGTGGTTTCCTTGCGTCTCTCCATGCTTCCCTAGTGGGAGGGACTAAACGCAGGGAAACGACGCAAGTGAGGGACGCAAGGATTCCATTTAATCGACCTGAGAAGGACCCCTAGGTGTGTAGGTGTGTATGGAACAGGGTTTCGCCAGAGCCATATAATAGAACTATCTATCTATTTGGCGCTGGGTTTCGCCTTTTGGAACAGCCAATCACAATGCAAGGTGTAGACCACATGATGTTACTGACGCTGTCGATTGGAGGATTTGACTCCCTCATGCCAGAAGTTCACACAGTGATATAATGTGATCACACATGAAAGTCACCGGTATACGAGCACAGAGGGCGCATTTTTATTTTTCGAAGACTCTATACAACAGAAACATGAATTACAGTTAAACATGCTTACGGTATGTTTTATATTATACGGTTTATCACTGTTTACTAACACGACCATCCTTAGATACGTTGCTAGCTAACGTTAGCAACTGCCTATCGTCACTGCGTCTATTATCTAACGTCGCCTCAAAATACAGGCACCTCTTTCAATCATTTTATGTGAAACCTTTTCAACATACTCGTCTTTTAAAACAGTCTACAAATGGCAAGGAGCGTCGGTCGAATATGTAAGGGCTTTCAACGCCTAGGCTTACTCTCTAAACAGACTCAACTCATCCCATTTACCAGAGTTCCAGTTGGGACTGTACGGACCATAGTGGTATGTATAATAATCTCACTGTATTTACTAAAGTGCTTGAAAATAAATGACAGTTCGGGGTTTCATCTGTGCGCCACGGGAACTCCTCTCACTCCTTCCAGATGATTCTTAGCCCAGTTAGCTGCTGTGATTGATGGTGTGTTAACGTCATTCATGTACAAACACTGGGGACGTTAGAGGAAGATATTATAATAACTGTATATTTGAATCACTAAGTGAAAGAAGTGGGTAACATTTACCCAACTCTGTTTAACAGCATATGCCGTTTATATTGCAAAATGTGTTTATTGGGTAAACCTGTAACACGCTTATTACAATCCAATACAAAACACTAGACCACAAATTCTACCCCTTTTTAGGTTTTTTATTTGGGTTTTTGTTTGCATAGGTGTTGCACTGGACTGCATTATATTGAGAGGTATTTCTATTATTTTGCCCAACCAATTTATTTACATGAGGGGCAAGAATATTAAAAACATATTTTGATATCATGCAGTCCATTGCAACACCAATTCAAACTCAACACAGTAAAACATCCCTGTTCTGTCTCAGATGTCAATTACATGTATTTACTACAGCGCTGGTGCCAGCAAGCAAAACCCTATCATGAGATATAATGTTAGAATTCAATTTTGCTCAGGGCTGCTCCAAATGACACACTCACACTTCATTGTTTGGGTCTGCAGAGGCACACATATTAGGCCGGATATACCTAGGACAATAAGGTCTTAAAGATCACAAGAAATGTAGGCACACAAAGGTCTTATAATCTTCAGAAGTGGTCAGTCTAATTATCTCGCATCAGAACAGTTGCAATGCTCTATGTGGGTTATTCAACAAAGGATTTACTATAACTGTGATTCAGCCATGTACATACTGAAAAAAAATGGTGAGTTGTCGGTCTGTTAATTCTCCAGGACAGTCTTAACACACCCACCAACGGTTTAAATAATTTCCCTGTTTTGCAGACACTGCCATCATTCCTATTCCCCCAGCCCCGGGACTTCAGCCTGCCTAACCCCTCATGGGGCTCAGAAATGACGCGCATGTACGAGCATTATGAAAGCCAGTGTGAGGTGGAGACGGAGGGAGGACAGAAACAGAAAGGGCCGTGGCAGAGACTGCCAAGCTACAATCGCCTCCTCAAATATGCTACAGGTAAAGTGTTTGTCTCTCTGCTTGTTTTTGAAAAAATATATTATGTATTATGTTTTATTTCCCTAAGATGCCATGTTAGCTGCTAAAAGTTAACATGTGTGTTTTTCCATCAGGTGGAGTATATCTTAGTAAGATAATCCAGTCAAAGGCTCGCCTGTTTACGCGGAACATCAGAAACCCGGGGGCAGCATTTGAGTATGTTTTGTTTGTCAACAAAGAAGAGCAGAAGTGTGTGTGCATACTCCAAGCTGGACACCTTCTGGAGGGGCCGCCAGGGTGAGGAAATGTTAATGTTGCAAATGTGTGTGTAAAAATGTATGTGATTTAAAAATGTGTACATGCTTTTTCTACTTAACTGTACTCCACACTAAAATCAACATGTTAAACACATTTGCACACTTTATGGTTTTGAATATTTTATCTTTTTTTGGTCTGAATTATGCTAGTACGGGGCAGCTTAGTATTGGATTTCAGCCACAGATCTGGTTGCAGGTCATACCCCTTACTCCCTGCCCACATTTCCTGTCTGCCTCTATATTACCAGCAAAAGCTAAATTCCATAAACAAATCAAAAGAAATGACCTCAGAAGAAAGTCCATTTGTATATCTTCAAACTTTGGAAAACTGCCCTTTTTAAACTTTGTGTTTGATGTCTAATATACGTGTTTGTGTGTTTCCAGACATGTCCATGGGGGGGCAATAGCCACTATGATTGATACTGTCACAGGGACTCATGCTACCATCCTCTCTGGACCTGTTATGACTGCCAACCTCAACATCAACTACCGCAGGTACAAGAAGAACATCATTTTATAGACATGCAACAGCTGATTGGATGTCAAAAGATTATTTTTTTTGGCATCCATAGCCCAACTGAATGACTGATTGAAGCTTTGTTTAAATCTTCACCAGTGAGAAATTACAGCCTGGAAATGCTTCTTTTTAATCGGCTTGTATGATGATAGACAAACTAACATCTCCATACTATATGGCTATTCATCCTTCATGGTCAGTTTCTTCCTGACAAACCCTTGTCTTGTCCCCAGGCCCATCCCACTGGGAAGCACAGTGTTGCTTGAATCCTCTCTGGAAAAGAAGGAAGGCCGAAAAACATTTATTACATGTAGAGTGACAAGCACCGACGGCTCCAAACTTCACACAGAAACATCAGGTAATGTACATTTATTATAATCACAACGGGACGTCGTATTAATTGTGGTTGGTAACACCTCTGCTCTTCCTCCTTTTTTAACGCCACTGTCCTGTTTCCTCGTGCAGTACTGTTCCTGTCAATCACTGCCAGCCATCTACTGGGAGGCTGACACAAACACACCGGCCTACCACAGATCCTAACACTGAGGACACAACGTGTGTGTGTGTGTGTGTGTGTGTGTGTGTGTGTGTGTGTGTGTGTGTGTGTGTGTGTGTGTGTGTGTGTGTGTTGTGTGTGTGTGTGTGTGTGTGTGTGTGTGTGTGTGTGAGACAGTCTGTATTTATAAACAAACTGTGCAGCTTCATGAAAAATACCTTTACTTGACTACCTCTGCTTCGTGTGACTTAAACCTCCAGAGTACATATCTAAACATAATTTATTTAACTGATTGTGTTAGCGGCTATTTATTGTAACTTTTACAGTATTGTATCTAACACTGAAGCCTTATTGTAACTTGTACAGTATTGATTATGATTTTATCTAACAATGAAGCCTTTGAAAGTGATATTATTGCTCAAAACATAGTGATTATGAAGATTTTGTTTCCTCCAATAAAGCCTTACCTATTGGTACTCTATGAACGAGGAAAACCATGTGTTTATTCGTTTGTCAACAAGTGAAATTGTTTACAACAGGGCAACAGTTTTAACTGCCATTATAACTTAACATAATATAACGTATATTATAAGGTTTAATGACAGGCATGTTTTTTTTGTTAAAAAGGCAGAATAGAGAGTGTCCTGTGCTCTTGTCTGTTTGCCATAAAAGGATTAAGGATTTATATACATATATAAATTCTAATATTTGAGTATGAGGTGTAGATTTGCAGCCATGAGATTATAATGACAGGGATGCAAACTTGTCACCTTTCGGCGAAATTCGCCGTTTTGATTCCAAAATAGGTCGTTTGTGTGATTCATGTAGATCTGCAATAAAAATATGTTTGGGGTATGGGGGGGGTCTGGGACCCGGAGTAATCTGCGGCCGCGAGCTGTTATGTGCCATCATGACACGCATGGTGTTCTTTTTTTATATATTATAATGAAGCGTGAGCACAAGTCTTCCTGCCTGTCAGCTCTGCTCATGGATGTATAATAAGGCTCTGCTGCTCCGGTATGAGGGTCTAGCTTCAGCAGCTACATTACCTACGGTGCGTTCGTTAATATTAACTGTGCGGTCCAAAGTCACTGTGGCACAGACTGGACCGCTGGTTAGAACGGGGTGTTCAGAGCAGAGCTCCCTGACCTGAGCGGCAGAGCGTGATGTGCACTGAAAAGTGTTTCTGTCGCAATATTATTTAATGAATCGTTGAGCTAGCTAACTAGCATACATTGTCACTATCTGCTAACGTTAGCTTTAGCCTTCGTTTTCAAATAGTTTCTTTCATAGCCTATAAACGGAGGTGGTATAAGTATCTTGTACTTGAGTAAAAGTAGAAGCACTCAGATCTTGTTCTTGAGTAAAAGTTGAAGTACTCAGGTCTTGTACTTGAGTACAAGTAGAAGTACTCAGATCTTGTTCTTGAGTAAAAGTAGAAGTACTCAGATCTTGTACTTGAGTAAAAGTAGAAGTACCAGAGTGTAGGAATACTCTGTTACAGTAAAAGTCCTGCATTCAAAATGTTCCTCAAGTAAAAGTAGAAAAGTATTATCATCAAAATATAGTTAAAGTAGCGACAGTAAAAGTAGTCATTGTGCAGATTGGTCCATTTCAGAATAATATATCTGATATGTTTTATAATGATTGATCATGAAAGTGTTCTCAAAGCTGGTAAAGGTGCAGCTAGTTTGAATTACTTTGTATACTGCAGGGTAGCTTGTGAATTTACTCCAGGTGGAACTAAAGTCTGATTTAACACTTGATTATATTTCACATCATTCATCCACATCTGTAAAGTAACTAAAGGTATTAAATACATGTAGTGGAGGAAAAGTACACCATTTACCTCTGAACTGTAGAGGAGAAGAAGAACAAAGTAGCAAAACATGAAATACTTAAATAAAGTACAAGTATCTCAAAATTGTACCCAAGTATAGTACTTGTTGAGTTTATGAACTTAGTTACTTTACACCACTGGCTATAAAGATAGAAAGACAGCCTTGCACAGAGGCATGAAAATACATTTTCAAAATGCTCAACAGTCCTGCCAAAATTATAAACTGACTGCTACACAATTAAAATAAATGCTTAAATATATTTCTATTAGATGTGACTCTTTGGCGTTTCTGTTATTATTAACTGCTGCTTTAGTTGTTCTGACTGCTAAAATCCTCTGTTATTCCTCATTTTAAAGCCGATATTCCGTGGGGTCGGGGGGCTCGGATCCTTGTCACCTTTTCATACCTGATGAGTTTGCATCCCTGATAATGACTTCAATGGGGAACAAGGGGATCAAACTCAAAATCATCTTGTTCATTGGCTGGTTTTACTCAATCATGCTGACACTGAATGTGTTTCTCAAAAATGACTGAGCGTGCCACGATACGCCATAATTAGTAACACTGTCCACATCACAGAGACCTGTGCTGCTCCGGCAGCTACTGCAGCTCACGGGGCTGAAAAAGTGCAGTGAGAGACCTGAGACTATAAAGAGAGCTATTTTGGGTTATGTACTGTACTGAATGTGGGTTGAAGGCATTGCATCCTTTGATTTGTAAATGAAGCTATGAAACATCTGAATTAAATGTCAATATCTCACACTAGTATACTACTAGTACACTAGTAGTGTTTACATTACTTGACATGTTGATAACCAGGCTTTACTTGTATGTAACTACTCACTGAGAACAAAGCCCTTCTGCTCTTTATTTTACCCAAACTATAGTGACATCTTATGTTGATGTTCATGAAACATCGCAATTATTTCAGCTGGACTTAAGCAAAATGTAAAAAAGGAGCTAATATTTGTATCCATTAATGCTTCCTTTTTGTTTGTATTAGCATCCTCGTTTTTCTTTATATATACTGTATCTTGTATATTTATTTTTCCTCACAGCCAACCAGCTCTGAATACCCTTGAAATAAATGTGACAATTAGAAGTAAAATTACTATTTCATCCATTTAAAATACAAATACAGGAGTGGCTTATATTAGCAGGTTCTACTCTGAAGGTTCTTTTTGTTTTTATGCAGTAAAATATTGGTTAAGAGTATACAAACCTTGCACGCATTTAGCTTCAGTTCTCACAGTTTGGTCTGACGTGTGGTTTTTGAGTGTCTGGGCTCAGAGGCCTGGTGGTCTTCTGAGGGCCCCTCACATCTTTAACCTCAGTACAAGTGCAGATGGAAATGCTATATCTAAGTTTCTAAAAACTTGTGTGTGTGTTAGTTGGTGGATGCAGGACAAATTAACAGCTTTTTCTTCTCCACTGAAGAGTCATGTGGTCAAGTTGGGTTTGAGGAAACGGGTGGGGGCAGAGTGGGGGTAGTTGTTTTTAACTTTCAGTTAAAACCACCTGCAACAAGCTCTGCCCAATGTAGCACTTCCAAAGACTGATTTTTACTTTAGATATGTTACCCTAAAGTGTATCTTCGACTTTGAAAGGTTCATTTGACCTGTAATCCTTAAAGAAAGAATCAAAGAATGGCTGAACGTGGAAGCATCTGACAGAATGGCGGTATCTTTCACTTACATGAAAATGAACCGTTATTTTGAAGGACTTTTTTTCTACCAATTGGCATCTTTAAGTGTTAGTGTGGGTTGATTTCTTAACCAAAATAGGACTAATATAGGATGTCAAGCTGTTACTTAATAATTTAGAAGAGAATGTATCAAAGACAGCTGTGCATGTGAACCAAGTAAAGATAACACCAATTTCTCATTTACAGCCTCTCTCCTATATGGATTTGGTAAGTAATGAACAGCTTAGAGGAATGGGCTCTGGTAACGTGTACTACTGTGTTGTTCTTTAAGTGGGTTTTACATTTAATATTGATTAGTAACTTGAATAAATCATTAGACTAAACTGGATTTGTGTGGGACCTATATGGTTATCAACAGATTTCAACAGACATGCATGTTGTATTGATGCTTGGACAGGTCTCCCTTGAAAAAGAGATCGAGGATCTCAATGGGACCACCTGGTTAAATAAAGGTTTAATAATTTATTTTAAATGTGCTGAGCTGAAAGAAGTATAATTTTTTGATCCTTTACTTAAGGATCAAATAACTTAAGTAAACAATGCCACATACTTATAATTTAAATCCCATATCAGTATCAGAAGGGATTAAATAGATGTCATAATATGTGATTAATGCATAAACAACAGCATTTTAATGTGGCATGTTGACGTGGAACAGATTTGAAAAAACTTTTAAGAGGATTTGTCTGTCAACACTAATCTCAAAAGTAAGTTGCTCCAGCTGTCAGATAAATGCAATTTAATAAAATAAAAACAACAAAAAAGATTACTCGAGTAAAATGTCTTATCACATTCCACCATTGGCACAGTCTATCCAGCATGTGATTATGTAAGCGTCACGTGATGGAGGAACATTTACCACAATGATGTAAACTGAGAAGACATATCGATTATTCATCGTTTTCTTTGTGTCTGAAGTTATTTTCCTACTTCAGATAAAATCAAGTATTGCAATTAAAGTAGTCTCTCTGCATACTTTGCATGTAAAGAGTCCTGCAGGTGTTTCCACTTGGTCTATCCAGCATATGAAGAGGGATATAAATGTGTTTTTCGTTTTTCATTTTGCTGTTAGCCTACTGTGTGAACATTGAAGTAAAAGGCCAGACCTGCATTCAAGTGTCTTCTCTATGCATTGTACTTTTTTTCGATTAGTGTGGCGGAAATTTGTGGCAGCACCATGGGATTATATTTCTCAACTGAGCACTACAGAGCAAAACCCGATCCGCTGCTATTACGTAACAGCCGGTGACATAACTCTCTCCAGCCCGGGACGGTCAGGGCACACGGAGCGCGCGGGGAGGGGGAGGCCGGGGCGCGCGGCTTGTGAACGGCCGGCCGGTCCAGCTGCACTTTCCCCTCTGCTGCTGCTGCCTCGGGGGGAATTACATTATTTCAAAAATAACCACACAAGAGGAGGTGTACTTTCGAACAAAAAGGGAGGCTGACAGAGAGGGCTAACAAGATGACGACCGAGTTCTGGGTCCCACTGTAAGGACAGGAAGGAGGCGAGATGGCAGTGCATGTTTTCAAATGCCTGCGCCGGCCCGGGCGCTAGAGCAACCAACAGGTAGCCTAGTATGAGCTCGAGTTTTGTCACGTTACCGTCTTAGTCTAATGGCGGCAGTGGGTGTTCAAAATAAACTGACTTGCCAGGGGTTTGTGGTTTGTGTGTGTGTCTGTGAGAGAGGTGAGTGTGTAGGACCACCCAGTGTTTTGACAGGAGAGTTATGGAATATGAGGAGCTCGACGTGCCCCCCACTGACAACCCCATCAAAAGAGGTAAGGCCGGGGATCCATCACTGAGGTTTATTCTGCAGCATGTGTGGGCTTTGTGAACTGTTTTGCCTCTGGGCGTAACATATAAGGTGTTTTAGCTGCTAATAGCTGATTTCTTCTTTTATATTTACATTGCAGTGTTACATTGTTTCTTAATGTCCTCTCTCTTTGACATAAAGCAAGCCTTATCTCCCAGCATGCCATGCTTTGTCCACTCCCACCCACATTTATCTCCTCCTTCTGTATCTCACTTTGCTTACCTTTTCCTACACTGGCTGGTCATCCCTGTCTCAGTGTTCACTTTCTCTCCACTCACATTCATCTTCACCTGTTTAACCCTCCTCATCCCTCTCACTGCAGTGTGGTTAAGGTGCTGCGAGTGGGTAAGAATGACAGTAAGCCGGAGTAATCCTAGGGATTACTTCTTATTTTTGCTTCTGTTTTTGGTCAATGCTTTACTATTCAAAGCCTCTCCTCGGCTAAAATCAAACTTGCAGTCACTTGATCAAGACACCTTGTCCCTCTTCCAGAAGCCCATTGAAAACCTTTCCTACTATAATCTCAAGCATTTGCTAGAGTTTACCTGCAGAGCTTCACCAATGGATGAGAAGGACACATCGAAGAAAAGAAAGTATATTTTTTTACAGTGTAGTAGCAACATCTAGCTTGAGTTAAAATAGCAGGATCACAGTTGAGTAATACTCAATTAAATCGTCCTGCTTTCTAGATTTTATTCATTCGACAGTGCACACCAGCAATGACGCTGATTTTCCAGCTTCGTTTGTTCATAAAAAGTCATTTATTTTGACAGTAATATAGTGATTTGGTGATACTACAGTACCAAAAGATATAGATAAAGAGACAAAAGATTGAGGTTAACAGAGAGAACCAGAGTAAAAAATATGAACGCATGCAAACCATAAGGAGTATTCATTAATATTGTCCAAAATAATGATTTCACAATCTTGGATTTTCACTGCACAATTATCATGGCCAAAATCATTCTCAACTTTTGAAAGAAACGTGTTACTTCTTATTTGTATGTGGGGGAGAAAGACAAAGCATGAGCGAAGGGAAACATAAATGAATAAGAGCTGGATTATTTACACAATTTTATCATGTGTATTATTAACATGACAAATATTAAAATGTTTATTATAATGGTTATTGTCAATGCCGGTATATTGCAACTCTCCTACTATAGTCCGAAGCATTTTTTTATCTTGTCAAGTGGTAGAGATTTTACATTTGTTATTAAAATGTGGTTAGATACTCAATTGTACTGCAGGTACACACAGGTTTGTTTTTATATCATACCTAAATTGCTTTTAAACTCCTTAAACGTAACTGTCCTGCCATGGGTGAGTGATGTCATTACATTACATTCATTTAGCTGACAATAAGTACATTCATCCATGAAGAAACCAACTCAAAAGCAAGAATCCTGCAGGTACATTTCCTATCTAAGCCCAACCAGATTAAGTTCTACTGCATTATCTTAAAGCCAAACCTTTCTAAGTGCTTTTTTTTTTGTTCAAGCCAAGATAATTTTATTTTAAATTATAAAGATGAGATGTAAGGGATTCCAGTTGTACCAAATATGTCAGACAATTTTCTTGGCCATTTTATTTTAAATCATGTACAAGACATTACCACGTTATACAGGATACTGACCCGATACTACGGAAAAAAACATTTGAACAACCTTAGAGCTACACAGGAGGTTGAAGATATTTGTAAAAGAACAACATCAGCTAATTTATCAGATACTGGAATTGCTGTAATGGCGTTTCAATCTGGTTAAAGTGAAGTTTCAGTGTGGTTGCACAGTTTTCCATTTAGCTGAGATGGCTCTTCTTAAGGTGATTCTTGGTTTTAGTGGCTGTTGTGGGTGTTTGCTCATTTTTCTCGAGCGCTGGGTTTGAATCTCTGGCACTGCTCCACATTGCATTTCCTCCTGTCTGTAAAGTAAATAATGCTTCCGTTCATTATTTGATACTAACGGTCTCTGGTGTCCCTCAGGGATCTATCCTAGGTCTTTTCCTCTTTTATTCTGCAGTGATTTGTAAACTTAATATCCGTGTTCGTTGTGATTTCAAGCCTCTAGCCTCTCTAAAAATACTTCTTTATCATTCACAATCATGATTTCCTTTAAGATTAATTGGTATAGATGTTTTAACGAACGGTCAGTCATTTTTAGGCCAATAAACGGTGTAATGATTTCTGCAAGACATTCCACAACATCTATATCTATTCATCTTAAAACGGTGAATCCTGCTTGTATTTCTTCGCACCTGGAGCAATGTGTTTTAACATTTTATGGTGGCTTTTTTTCATTTGTAAGCAGTTAGTTCTGAGCTACATTTCTGGCTTCTTAATGATTCAACACCCTCAGACAGCTTTGTTAGTGCCATAGATTTGAGGTTAGTTTCTCTTTTGGTCATCAACCTACCTTTTTTATCAGGCTTGCCCTAAACATAATTTATATTGATGTCTTTTTTATGTTTTCCGTTTGTTGTTTTTATAAACATTTATTATTTACCTATTTGTTATAGCTTTGACTTCTTCTACACTACTTATGTTACACTGGCATGAAGTTGGAGAGTATTTATAGGATAATATTGTTTATATTATAATATTGTATTTTTCTGTGCTGTATGTCATGGTTTATAATAAGGCCAAGCTGTCGGCCTGCTCTCAGGGTTCAGTGGTCTTCAGCGCTGTTATGTAATGCAGCAACTGTCACTTCAGCAGTCAGCTTAGATGTTAGAGTGTAGAGAAGAGAGTGAGTTTCTGACTGATGAGTGGAGTTGATGTTTGTGGCTCTGTAATCAGCACAGTCGTTTACAGTGAGTATTTGTGTGTGTGCGTGCGTGTTTGTGTGTGTGTGTGTTTGTTAAAACTGTGTGGGGTTGACGGCTTGGCTGACAGGTGTGTCTTGTCACGTGTACATGCTATGTCACATTTAGTTTGTTTAAAAGCCGATGCTGCTGATTGCATATGTTTTCCCCCTCACCACTAGCCACCGACCGCTAACCTTTTTCCGTTGATTACCATCAACTTTAATAAGTAGAAATCATTAACACCACATTTCAGAAATGAGCATGGGCCGAAATTCAGTTTGCTGCGGATTACTTTTAATTATTTTTAGTAAGTAAGTGTGTAACTTACCACAGTAAATGCCTATGCATGCAGTTGTGCATTTATATAACTGACTAATACAACTATATTGATGCAAGGCCTTTGAAACTCTTTAAAATAATAACTTTTGAAAGTTTACAAAAAATTATTGGATTAAAAAATAATAATAATTACTCTTAGAGTACGATTTCATCCAACATAAATCTTTTTACTTAGCAAACCCTCACTTGGGCTTGACATTTATTTACTTTTTTCCGTGTGTCTGTGCGTGCACTGCTCTGCTTTCTTTCCTTGCTTTCTGCTTATGAAGCAAAACTGATTTGATGAGGGGAGGAAAACAGTGGAAACCACAGAGGGCCTGATGTGACACCAGACAAAGACCGGCTAGCTCTACGTCTTCCATTGATACTTATCTCCACTGCCTTCAAACCTCTCTGTCTCACACACACGCAGACACGCACACACAAACCCCATGGCTCAGAATCGCCCCTCTGCAAGTTTACTCACACTCACTGCAATTCAGACTTTCTCACAATTGTGGTCAAACAGGTAGACAAAAAAAGAGCACATATTGCTTCACAGACACCCACTTTCCTCTGCCTTTATCTCCTGTGTGTGAATGTGTGTGTGTGTGTGTGTGTGGTTGTGTGTGTGCCGAAGAGTCACACTTTTCAATGTGAAAAGGAATTCTTTAATTTAACCTCTATGTTATCAGTTGGGCTTCTTATCTGTCCACAGGTTTTTTTTTACATTGGAAACAAATACAAAGAAAGTAATGCATTCTTAAAACCCTGAGCCAAACTGCCATTAAGCATTTAATGAGGAGTTTATATCTGTATGTTGAAGCAGTTGTGTCAAAACACTTTTCATAGCTAATTTAGTCCCTTGATTCAAATCTAAGTCAGTGTATTTCAGGATTTAGATACTCATTTGCAAATGTAATTGGTTTTAATGTATTCTAAAATCACAATAATTTAAACTATTGTAAACATGATGATGCGATGCCAAGCTACAGTGCATGATTTAGTGGGAAAGAAGTATTCAGAAAATTCAGAAACAAATATTAATACAAAATAACAAAAGATTATGAACAAACTCCAAAAATGTAAAAGTATTATATTCTAAAATAGTAGCAGAGGTTTTGGCAACAATACACACTTTCAGAATGAATGGCATTATCGAAACACCCCCTGTTATTGTAATATTATATTATCAAACAACTATTGTGTAGGCACTACTTTTATGCTTTAGATTTGGAGTTGTGGGTATTCATTTCTTCCTGAAATGTTGTGAAATAGTGTAGTGAAATGCAAAGTAGCAAAACACATTTTTAAATAAATATTCTAAAGTACAACTATGTAAAGTACTTCAGTATATAAACCTTGCTTCTTTGTAACATGGGCAGATTGAACCCTCTTTATGAACATGTGTGCCATTGAGCCCTGGGTTCAGTTTGGGGGTTAGCCTGAATTTAAAGTGTAATCTGTAAAGCTCATAAGTACACTGCATTTTGTGTTTTTGTGTGTCAATTATTCTACTGGATGCTCATGTGTAGTACAGCTTGTAGTTATACTTACAGTAAGTGTCGTGTAGTTTTAAAGTTACTAACTGAGATGTTTCTCCCTCAGAAGGAGCCGTGTCCAAGAAGACTCATTTGAGTAAGTTCTATACATTTTTCGTTATCGTGTGTGTGTGATAATGACATTGCTTGTGTTTGTGCTAGATATTTGTGCATGCATTTGTGGTTAACTTCGTAGTTACTGAACATACAACATTGCACCTGTACAGCAAACACACGCACTGTGGTGTCGCTGGAGTTGGGCCATTAGCAACATAGTGTGTGTGCTGTGTGTTGCACCTGTGTTGCCCCCCCTCACACACACACACACACACACACACACACACACACACACACACACACACACACACACACACACACACACACACACACACACACACACACGCACACACACACACACACACACACACACACACACACACACACACACACACACACTCACACACACACTCACACACACACACCCATATACCGCACACACCGGTAAAAACACCAACTTCTATGGCTTTGGCATATTGGCATCCGAATGCAGATGACAGCGATAACATCTTGTCTGTTTTTAACTTCTTTGGTTTAACACTTTCTGCCACAACTTTAGCACACCTGGCTGTGTTATCAAGGGTGGAGACGCTGAGCGTAACACACCACCAACCTTCATGTTAGCTGGTGTGATGATACTCAAAAAATAAGCACAAATTATGATGACTTTATTGATTGTTGCTTGTGAGTTAGAGTTTTGATAAATCATTTTGGATTTTATTAATACAAAATCATGGATTTTGTTTCTAGGATAGCAGTTAAGAAGTGTTGTGAGATACAGAGCCAGGTTGGCCTTGTGTCATTCAGTCAGCTGCTGTAGATGGAGCGATGATAGAGTGAGAGTAGGCACCTACAAGTACAAGAGTTTTTACTTTTCTGCTACCTTTTACTTCACTGCATTCATCAGGGAAACATGTGTCTGCATTTCTCTGACAAATATAGCAACTCATTACTTAAAAAATGTAACATACAAAACATAACCCTCTCAAAAAAGATGTTGAATTAGTATTTATAAACTACCTAGCTGAACATAAAAAGTAGTTATAATGAGCTCCAACTCTTTTACTTACACGTTTTACTCGGTCCCCCAGTTGTTCCTTTTGAAAATGGTTTGATTTCAATTCTCAGGGAGATTCTTAAAGCAGTCAGACATCATGAAGTGGATTTTTTTTTCTTCAAATATGTGGTAAAGAGTGAGGGGGTGAAGGATAACAACAAAGGTATAAGGAAAAAGTACCTTGAGAAAAAAAAAAGCAAGGGTAAGGGACAGTCCCCCCTTTCTTTGTCTTTTATCTCTTCTTTCTCTCACGACACACACACACACACACACACACACACACACACACACACACACACACACACACACACACACACACACACACACACACACACACACACACACACACACACACACACACACACACACACACACACACACACACACACACACACACACACACACACACACACCACAAGGAAGGTGAGGCGGTGACAGACACTCAAAAGTCTGAATGTGTGTGCTGAAGCGGCAGTGAGCACCCAACCTGACTCGCTAAAGGACGAACGACAAAGAGAAGAAATATTGAGGGAATAAGTTGCGTGGAGAAAAGTGTGTCAAGTACTGTTAGACAAAGTGAGAGGACAAGTGAGTTTGTGAAAGTGGGACAAACGTCTGAACAAGTGGAGGAGTGAGGATGATGCGAGGTAGGGATGAAGTTCTTTGGCGTGTTGTCTGTGTGTGTGTGTGCGTGTGCGTGTGTGTGTGTGTGCGTGTGTGTGTGTGTGTTGGCCTTCCAATCAATATATTTTATTATTTATTACATGTTTTTAGGTCAAAGTTTCTCATCGACCCATCCTCATTTCATAGTTTATCAAAAGTGATTGCATAACTGTGACGTGATGCTTCTAATGCGCCATATTGTTATCAAGATGCATTATAGTTTCACGTTAAAGTTTAATCAGCTTTATCTTTTTGTGCTTTTATCAAATCTCTGAAATAACTGGGTAATCTTGCACTTAGACACCTGTTGCTTCAAACATGTTGACCTCTTTTAATGTCTTTGTTTCACTTTGTATGGCCGTGGGATTAAGCATTTTAATTATGGTTTTACGCTTTTCATTTCATTTATCCCTGGGTTGAACTTCATTCAAATTTTCACACATTTTTACGTATATTCAGCCCTCTCTGCTTTGTTTTTATTCATTTTTTATTGATTAATCAGACATGTTTTGTATTAGCTCTGTGTCATATTACTTAAATTACACACATACTTTTGCAATCAGTTCAATTTCCACCTTATGAAGGCCGATATTTTTATTTGTTTTGAAACTTAACTGAATCTCCAGAGTTCTTGATGCGTTCACATCAATACGTGTTTCAGTTTTATGGTTTGGTAACATGACTCAAACCCTTTGATGGATATAAGATTTGAATCATGTCTCAGATATTTCTTCCCTCTGCCTCCCACATACAGCACGGGCAAGAAGCTGAGCTGCCTCTAGATGTTAAGAGACAAGTGCAATAAGTGCATTAAGTTCAAATGTATATACTTTTTATAATGATCTGCAAAACACCTTTTGTTTAGAGTCATCATATATCATCATAAGTGGTATAATTGACAAATTACACAAATTAAAATTCAAGTTAAGGTTTGTTAAATGTTGCAAACTCTATAGCGAATACTGAAATCTTACCAAAGTGCAACCGAAAGAAACAGGAAAGCAGGATGCTTCACGACTGCAGTGTGTCAGTTTGAATGGACTGACCTCAGAAACAGGATGCAGAGGAAATGCTGATATTATTGTCAAACATTTAGAATGATTTCTTTTGTAATGATTTTTTATTTATAGTCATTTAAAAAAACTAAAACAGGTAGACAAGATAAGGAAATAAACAATGATACACTCTTCCTTTCTTGTAACATGCGAACACACACACACGTATAGATGCAGAAGCACACACTGATCCGCAGCTGCTTTTTAGATGGCGTCTAGATATAGCATATCTCAGCCCTGCAGCTGTGTGTGAATAGTGTGTGAAAGAGAGGCTCCCATTGCAGACACATTTGAACTTCTGTGTCTTCTCTTCAACAGCAAACATTTCATTATGTAAATGTTACACACTCACAGTGGGCTTGACGCCGTCACAATTTACGCACACACACTTTTCATATGGCTTTGTTGTTGAGTTCGGGGGATTCTTACAGTTTCTTAATCTGAGAGGATTTCCTTGTTCCTCTGCACTTCCAAAGCAGAAGCGGTTGGCTTGAGATCAAAGCTTACATCAAAATCGCAGGTGACACATTCCCCCCAAAATATGGTTAAAGAAATACAACATGAGCTGATTCATACGTATGTCTCCTTTTAACACCCCCAAGTTCAGCCTGCACTTCAAAGTTAGACATGGTAAGTCTGATGCAAATTGGTGTTAAGATTATAAATCCCCTTCTCTCAGATTCTGTAGGAAGATGCTCTCTTTGTTGTTGTCAAATAATGAAAGAAACTCAGTAGTGAATGAGTTTATATGACAACCAGACAACCTAAAGATATGTATCACCCGTATATCTGCAGTCACCGTTGTGATGCAACCTGAAATATAAAGTAGCTAAATATTAAATACAGGAGATTTTCAAGAAATACTTTTAATTAAAAAATACCCTGTTAGAAAAAATTATGTATATCTTCTGATAAAAAGTTGTTTTGTCAAAGATCCTTTTGTACTGTTTGCCATTGGTTAAGATATTTCTTAAATTAAGGTTTTCCCTTTAAGGAAAAATTATTCTGCCAGGCATATTTAAATTTTGATTCATTAAGTCAGGGTTCATTTTGAAGATTTTACATATTATTTTCCCTTTTCCACTTCAGAACCAATTCATTTAAAGGTAAAGATTTTATACAAAATGTAACTATAATCTACTATATTTTTAAATGTTAAAAGCATTCGTTTGATATATTAGTAAAATGTATACCTTTTTATATTAAAATGCCACAGCAAGATACTCATTTATATGAATTAAAGTAGCCCATAAAACGTTTAAATAACAAGGTGCCTGCGTACGTGCGTGCAAGTCTGAGGATGTGATGTGTGTTTACAAAGTTTGTTTGCGTATGTACCAAATGAAAGTTTCCGTCAGAGGAAAATGTAGGTTTTTTTGTTCGTTAACAGTGCAAAGAACTGCTGACGAGTTGATTTTGGCAGAGAATGAAGAGTTGAGATAAGCAATCTATAACCCCCCCCCCCACACACCCACACACACACACACACACACACACACACACACACACACACACACACACACACACACACACACACACACACACACACACACACACACACACACACACACACACACACACACACACACACACACACACACACAAACTCAAAAACATGTACTCACACACGCTTTCTAGGATCAAATCCAGACATCAAACCTTTTCCTTTGTTTATCTTTTTTCTCTTATGATTGCCCAATATATTAGAGGTATACGGCATATAGATTTGTATTGCATTTCAGTTTTATTTGGTGCGATACTTTATCGTCTCATTGTCGTGCTTGAGAAGTACAAAAATTGGGAGCCAAAGTGATTGTCCAGCAGGAAGTTGTTCAAGAGTGACCTGTGATTCTTTCATTATCTGTATTTGCTGTAACACACAAAAGCTTCAGCTGTTTGTACTACGACTAAACGAGTGTGCGTTTCAAGTCATTGATAACCCAAAAACGAAATGCTCATCAAAAGACGTAAATCAGTCCGTCTCTGTGTAGCAGAGTCTTGGTACACTTTGCATGCGGAAGCGTGGGAGGGCACTCTTTTATTTTGACATCAAACCAAAACATTTCCACCACCGCACACCCACTGTAATCAATCATCTTCTCTTCTTAACAATGTCGATTTTAGTACGAACCTTTGAAATTGATTGGATTGGTTGTTTCGTTGAAATCTCATTGCAGAATTAAGATGTTAATAGAGGTTAGTGTGGCATGTTTATGGTTGGTTTCATACTGTAGAGCCTTACTGAAACAGAGCGGAAATATAAAATGTTGAGGGTTTAACAAGAGATATTGTAAAACATGACATAATGCCACTGAAACTAATAGTGTTGCTTGGACATTGGTAGCTAAATGAATCTTCAATATTGTTTGAGTAAATACAATCTACAGAAAAACATATGTTTACTTTAATAATTAGTTAATGCTGGGTCTGCCACATGATGGTAAATCAACATAAACCATTTAGTGCATTCGCAATTTTGGTGAAAAAAGACATTAAACTTGCATGTAATTGTAAAATAGGCACCGTTTTTCAGTCATATTGTCTGAAACACACAATAACCCCATTCTTTGTCACAAAAAGTTCCCGCTATCAGAAGAAATAATGGTGGTTTAGTTATTTTTCAGTATTTCATCACTACACTCACACACTAGGAGATGCTGGCTTTGATCGGTCTAAGTCTGTGGCTGGAGATAACAAGGTGAGACCATACAAAAAAAGCCCAAAGAAGTTTTGTTCATTTCCACTTACTTACTAGATAAAGGTGTCTTGATACTCACAGGCCAATCAAAGGCAGATTCCCTGTGTGTGTAATATGTAAATGTGATGCTGCTTTACATACTGTGCTGTGTGTGGCTGGGTTGTCATATATTTTATATTTAAGAGCTATGATTGCATGGAAAGTCCATGAATGAGAAATGTATGTGATTGCTGTGTGTGTGTGTTGTTGTTTTTTGTGTGAGTACGTGTGTGATCAGTGAAAGGTTGTGGGTCACAGTGGATTTCCTGTTTTTTTGAGGTTGACAATCAGAACTGAAATTGCGAGAAAACTCATGCAGAGACCACTCATGCTCCCCTGCACGCAATCATAATCACAAGTCAGCTACTTTTATCGGATGACTTATATGATATGTGATTTTTATGATATTAAGATTGCAGGAACTGTTTCAGCTGAGTTTCTTATACCCAAATGATCCAGTCATGATTACTGACAGTTGCATTTGTGAAATACTGTAATCCTTATAACATGGTGAATCTTGAGGTCAATTAATCAGCTCTGTTTGCAGCAGCAATCTCATTTCTCATGTCTGTTTCATCACACATGTGTGAACTCTACGTGATATTTAAAAAGTGCATTTCACCCCAGACTGGCTGTCCTCCAGGAGCCTTCAGGTGATCCCTGTGGCACCAGATAAAGAGGGCACACACTGACACACTAACACACACTCGTGAGAAAACCTGACACAGTTATGCACGGAAACAAAAATACTACTACGTACCGTAAAATCATCAGAGAGTTTGTGTCGCAGAAAATAATCACACCTTCAGTGCTTTTGGGGAAGGAAGAGAGAAGGTGACAGGAATAGATAAAAGGAGATTATTTAAAAAAAAAAAAGGAAAATACTGTTTGATGTGTCCCCATATAATGTTAAATGTGTTGTATATTGCAAATACACAGTCCTTATTACTCGAATTGGACATATGATTGTCAGGATATACTAAAAAAACTGTTCACACCTGCCCCCAACAATGGTGTCTAGACATGTGGGATTCTTTAATGAATCAAAGGACATCCGATTATGACAAAAATCGCCACTAAGCAAGAGACTGATGGGTGTGAGAGTTGCATAGATCAGGGGCAGGGGGAGAGGGGGGAGGGCCGTTACTGGCAGTGATGAAGGTAGAGAGAGTTCATTACTGGCAGCTGTAACTTATGAGCGAGATAGAGAAGGATTTTTGAAAGACAGTGAAAGACATGAAAGAGGGACAGTCAGAGTGAAAGAGAAGCCAGTCAACCACTTGAAAGGACTCTGAGGTTGACACCTTTGACTTCTCCGTCTTTCTCCACTTGCAAATATTCCACGTCCTCAGAAAACTGCTCGCCGTATTTGATGTTATTTTGTTCATTATTATTAATTAAGACAGGAGGTGTTTAAGAGGAAAATACCTTTGGTTCTCGTTGGACCCACAACAGTTGATAGATGTTTAAGGGGAAGTACAGCCTCACTTAAGTTCTCACGGTGGGAATCACTTTGCAATGGACTACTTTGGGTAAACAAATTAAGCATTAATATGAAGTTTATTGGCATATTTTACCTCCTTAGAAGCTGTGTGAGAGCTTGTTAAGATTGGTGATATATGGGTTTTCAAATTATTTATGAATCAGAAAACGATCATTTTCAATATTATTTTAAAGAACAAGCTTTTGTGTTGTTTAATTTCATTGAGACATTTTAAGCTTTTTTCCAAATGTTCAGCTGCTGATTAAAATGTAATCTGGGTGTGAGGTGGCTGAACTTTAAAATGTTGACATACATGCTTTTTCTTCTGTGTTTCAGCCCAGATTGAAATTATTCCATGTAAGATCTGTGGGGATAAGTCCTCTGGAGTCCATTATGGAGTCATCACTTGTGAGGGCTGCAAGGTGAGATAAACAACATAGCTACTGTAAACACACAAAACACACATACATCATACTAGGAACAACAGTCTAGAGAATTAGATGAGGCCATTAAAAAACATGTTTTTCCGTTAGATATAAAGTTGGATTATTTTACCATAACAACTGTGGAGGAAACAGCTAACCTTATACAATAATTCACCTGTCAACACCTCAAATACACCACCTTGAATACCTCGAATACACCAGCTCCTTAGTTTAATCTGTACACAAACCTGAAGTCTGAAAACAACGCCATATGATTTTACAAAGGTTTATGTGTCGTACTATTACTTAACCCAGGGCAGTTACATCTTGGAGTCGTGCTGATTGCCAGATCGGGGTTTGCTATTTCCTCCTTTAGACTTTAGGATGTTGACATTGACAGATGAGAGTCGTATCAATCTTTTTATATAACTTTCAAAAAGACAGAAAAAAAGTCTACTTGCCAAATTGAATTATTCTTTGAAAATAATAGTTCGAGCTAGCCTGGCGTATCGGCTAATATTATTTGGTGATGTTTTTTAATTCTGCATAGTATATTTGGGATGATAACAAACAAGAAAAGTGAGTAAAGAAATGTCCAAAATGAGTTTGACGTTATTTAGAAACACACTAATTTTAAATGGTTTCTTCATCAGAAAGCACATGTACATTTAATTTTTTTTATAAAGGGATAATTTTTTATAATGTTTTGCGGAGGTGAAAAACTGTTGGCTGATATATCATATTTTTGTAAATCATGATTATCAATATTTGTATCTGCGTCAAAGTTTCTGTTGGGCTCTGTTAACCACTTGGTACCTGGATCCCTCCTCAGGGGTTCTTCCGGCGCAGCCAGTTGCCCACTGTCTCCTACTCCTGCTCCAGGCAGAACAACTGTCAGATCGACCGGGCCAGCCGCAACCGCTGCCAACACTGCCGCCTGCAGAAGTGCTTAGCACAGGGCATGAGCAGAGATGGTGAGACACACAAATGGACAAACCATCTTCTTCACTCACAGCATTTTTTTTATTTCAATGTGTTCATGTGTTTGTCCTCCTCAGCTGTGAAATTCGGGCGGATGTCCAAACGTCAGCGGGACTCTCTGATAGCTGAAGTGGAGCGGCACCGGCAGCAGCAGCAGCAGCAGCTCCAGGAAGACGCCCCGTCTCTCTTGTCCTTCCCCACCAAGGCCCGTCCAGACCGCTCAGCGCAGCTCCTTCAGCCCATGGCCTCCGCCTACTCCTTCAGCGGGGATTCCGAGCTGCTGTCTTACACCGCTGATGTCCACCCTTACCTGATGTGCTCCCCCAACGAGTCCCAGGTGTCTGGTATGATCTACCGAGGCTCCGCTGTGTCCCCCACCTTGAGATCCCAGGGGAGGGGAGACAACAGCGGACACCCTGAGATAAGAGGTGAGACACTTGTGTGTACCAATGTCTCTGTGTTCCGATCCCTTCATCCTCCTGTGCTTATTCCTCATTTGTCTTTTTCTTTCTCATGTCAGGATTTGACTCCAGACAGCCGCCTCATGATCTGGTGGCGATTCACCCCTACAGTCCTCTGGAGGATCCTTACAGCCTCTATCCTCACTCTCTGAGAAACGTCGGTGAGCAAACAGTACAGTGGGCTAATGTGTGTTGACTGTATTGATTTTTTATATTTATTAGGAGCTTCTTTCTTTGATTTTCAGATGAGCTGTGTGCCAGCATTGTGCGCTCCCACAGAGAGACCACTCAGTACAGGGTGGAGGAGCTGCAGGCTCTCAGATGGAAAGTGCTCAGCAGAGAGGAGATCCAAGTCTACCAGAGCAAAGTAAACCAGCCTGATGACTGTTTTACAATTCTCAGTTCTTACTCTCGTATCTCAGAACAAAACATGCCATTTAAGAAGGCTTGAGGTTAAAGCTACTTTTGATTCATCAAACAGAAAACTGAGAAAACTTGTACCACCTCTTTGATCACACAGGAGGAGTATGTTCAATTTAATGTTAATTACTTTATTGACAAACATGTCTTTTAAGCACATTTTATATCATATTTAACAAATACAGAGTAAAAATACTGAAACTTGCTATGCTTGATCAGATCAAAGGACATTAACATTTAGGATGAGTTCAAATCTGAGTCACTTTTTCTTTTGATTGATTTGAATTTTTATCTTGAAATAAACTTACCCTTAAATATTGAACCAACATTTTATTTTATTTCTTATCCCCACTCCCAGTCGGTGGATGAGATGTGGCAGCACTGTGCCATCCGACTGACTGATGCCGTGCAGTACGTGGTGGAGTTTGCGAAACACATCCCAGGTTTTCGTATGCTCAGCCAGAACGACCAGATTGCTCTCCTGAAGACCGGTGAGTTTCCCTGACACAAACAAGAAGTCACCTTCACCTTCATCAATATCAGAAATAGATTTAACTTCTCTTTTCTTCTCTCTGCAATCAGGCTCCATGGAGGTGGTTCTAGTCCGGATGTGTCGCTACTTCAACACAGAGAACAACACCGTCTTTTTCGATGGGAAATTCGCTGGAGTTGAAGTCTTCAAGTCTCTGGGTGAGTAGTTCCTTACACGCTGCTTAAACCTGAAGCACAAAGGCAGTTCTGAAACCAAATGTGCACTGAACAGAATATATAAATATTTGATGATTTATCATGCTCTGTGGTTTCTTATCTTGCAGCATGTGGTGATTTAATCGCAGCAGTGTTTGACTTCGCTCATGATATGTGTGCTCTAAAGCTCACTGAGCAGCAGATCGCTCTCTTCAGTGCTCTGGTGCTGATCAACACAGGTAAGACCAACTCCCCTGTCTTTCAATTATGTAGATTGTTATTCCCTCAGATCTGAAACATAGAAAAATGGGAGGACAATACAGAACCTACAGTTGGTTACCAACAGGCAACATCTGGCAACATCTATCCTTCTCTATGTTTTCAGATTAACATTGATGGTTCTTGATGATTCAATGTTGGGGTCATATTTTTTAGATAGTTCAGAATGTAATTTATTGATTTTAGTCTAAATGTATCTAATAACAGACACCATTTTTATCAATATTGAAAAAAAATTGTTTTGTATGAAATTAAATTAAATGTATTCTTGCCAAGTATAATCCCCTTTTTAAAGAAGCTTCTCAGCAGTCAGGTTTAGTTAACAAAAAAAGACATATCAGAAATAAACACTTTTAGCCTTTTATCCACCACATTTGTGTTATCTCCTTTACTCATTCCCATACAATGGGCCTCTCTGCCCCCTAGTGGCTTTAAATGGACATGGTTATAATAGCAGGCAACACTGGGAACCAGTAATATATGTATGTAAGTCCGTTTGAATGTATGCTAAGAATGTATGTTAAGGGATTTTTTGTGTCTTTCTGTGCAGAGCGTCCATGTCTGGAGGACAGAAGCAGAGTTCAGCGAGTGCAAAGAAGCGTGGAGTTTGGACTCACACACATTCTTCACCGAGACAACCAAGAAAGTCTAATGCACAAGGTACATGCCTCAGTACCGGGCGGAGTTCTCTTTCTCTTATTGTTCTTCCTGAGTGTTCCTCACTGTAATAGAAAGGATGTCTGATTGTTTGTGTGTCCTCCCTGCAGCTGTACCAGAGGATGGCAGTGCTGCGTTCACTGTGCAGTCTGCACATGGAGAAGCTGCGCTGGTTCAGTCAGCGTTACCCACTCACCGCGCACTCTCTGTTCCCTCCTCTCTACAAGGAGCTGTTCGCCTGTGAGGCCGAGCTGCTGCCGGGAACCACTCACTGATGATTCACTCGAACATGCAAAGACACACACTTATTTTAAGTCTCTTCTTTACTTACTGACAGAATCTATTTTTCTAATAATTATAATAATAAATGAGAAAAAAGCACCGTAATCTTAACTTGTTTAGTACTGTATTTTATGAATTCCAGCAGAGTTTTTTGATAGATTGCACCAGACAGAAATATTAATATTTTCATAGTTTAAAAGTATTTTATTATTACAGGGACACATGCGTTTTGTTGTTGTTTGACGGTACATTGTCAGAGGGGTCCAGAATTAATTTTCTCTGCTACCATGAGTTACAGTGCATCTGGATACATACATTTTAAAAAGCAGAACACCTTTCATTGTCATCTGAAGTTTCAAATGCTAGTTCAGAATATTGAAAGTACGACTGTTTATGTATGTGCTAAATATGTCCGAACAGAGACACATAAGGAAGCTGATGAAGGTTTATGTTTTTTTCCAATTTTCTCTGATGTTCAGAAGTGACAACCAGTTTCTAATTGGCCAGAGGTGCTCTCTCAGTCTTTCATGAGCCTGTAAAAAAACCTTCCTTCACATACCACACACACATTTGAAGGTTAATATAGTGCGTAACAAGTAGCCCTACAAATAATGAAATATTGGTGTGTGACAATTACATACAGAGTGTTAAACACACCCAGAAAACAGAGACAACCTGCCTTGTTTCTGTAGAGAGATGTCTCTCCTCTTCAGGTCACAGAAGTCCTACAAAGCAGCCGTACCTCTTAAATGTCATCCTTTGTGTTTGAACAAATCCTAACAGGCTGTTGTTTTTTTCAAGCTTGGAAAAGATGTTGCATTAACTGTATACATTACATTAAAATGTGAGAGATAAAGTAGTGTTCAAACTTTTGCTTTTTTTCTCAGAACTTGAATATGATTTGTTTACATAAATAAAGCCATGACTAAAGAGGAAATGATGAGAGGTTTCATCATTAAATATCGTATGACCAGATGTGGTTCCAGGAAAGGGGAACCGCCTTTCCTGGAACGACTGAGTTTAAAATTAGGCTAATTCCATGTAAATCCTTAAATAAACTGATGAGGCTGTGAAACGAGACAGATGTGGTAACTTCATTTGTCTTTTAGTGGTGTAATAAAAACAGTCTTAGACTTATGCATGCAAGAAAAAGATGCACGGTACACACACACACACACACACACACACACACACACACACACGGTTTGCATGCATCAGACTTAGCTCTGAAGTGATTAGCATGATCTCAGCAGCACAGGCATTGTCGTCATGTTCTTGGGAGTTGCTGCGGCAGCACTCAACACACAGGAAATATTAGTCATTGTGGGTTAGTGGAAAGTTATTAGGTTGTCATAGACAAAAAACAGTTGCTAACGAAGTTGAAAGGAGGTCAATTGAATGTCGTAATTATGACATTTTCCTTCAAAAAGTCAAAAACATTTCTTTGTCAAATGTACCTATTGTCACATTTTAAAGCTGCTGTTATCTTGTGTGTGTCTGCTTAAATAGATAATTACTACAGCAACATGCAATGATTTTTGTTTTTATATTTCAGTTTGAAAAGACTGAGTAAGCAATTCTTATTGAGATATTCTCATGTTGAATAGAGGACAACACCAGCACAAACTTTTTGATTTAATCTCGTGTGGATTCTAACATACTTTTGTTGTTCTGGACCTGTAAAGTATAATTGAGCAATTCAAATAAACTATCTTATTTACTCCTCAAAGTGAAGGAAAATAGCCCACAAACTTTCAAACAAAAACAGTTTTCAGCAGCCTTAAATAAAGTTACATTTGTTGGATACAATTGCCTCAATACCACATGTTTCTTTTTCCAGTGTGAGTATGAGAGAGACAGTATTGCAGCCCTGTGTGAGTCTGTTTTTTCTCTCTGACCTCTCAAGGGAATTTCGACTCGGGACAAACACTTCTGTACGGTTTCCGGCTCCCGTCCCTCAACTGCACCCTCCAAAATGTTGTGATATCTGCTGTTTATGATGGGAAAGATCTGCTGCCAAAGCAGCAAAGGCAAGATAATCTTTCCAGTTTAAGCTGTGACCTGTAGAGAGTAAACTGTGGAAACTCATTAAAGGACAGCTGCAGAGGGGGTTGTTCTAATTTGTTTAGTTTTTTGTTGTTGACGAGAACATGGCGGGAGGGACTGAGTAGAGCTCAGCCAGTCTTCCTGACTGGAATCTGTAAGGTCACGATAACCCTGGACTCAAACTCTGTGTGTGATAAAGAAGAGTTTAAGGCCTTTGATATCTCTCTCTCGAAAAGCAAACAATGACTCAAAAACAGGGTTGGTGGGATGGACAAAATACAGCCCTAGCTATACATTATTAAATGCTTTTAAATCATATCCTTTATTCATCCTGTTGAATATTTTGACATTCGCAAAATAAATATGGATTTTATGTCTAAAGTTTGAGGTGGAAGATTGTAATTTTTACAACATGAAAAGCCTGTGTTACGGTCATTAGGTGTAGAGTTTAAAAGACATACATTTTTGAATTGTGGAAAATGTAGGCTCCTGTTTTTTTTCCCCGTGGCCTTTGTTGGGGAAATATTTTCCAAGGCCCATAACTTTGACCCAGTTTATCAGTTCATACTGTCCTGGCTGAGCACACGCACCTGTAACCTTGGCTGCTGTGCTCTCAGTGTTTTGTCTCCCTGTTCCTGCCTGTTGGCGTCAGCTGATAGAGGTGTTATGATTCTATCTTGTTATGCACAATGTTGATTATTCTCTCTGAACTAAATACATGGGTCTGGGGTAGAGTTCTTCAGAATTGACGTGGCAACTCTACAGTGAAGTCAGAACCTCTGACTCTTTGACTTGTTTTGTGAATTCTCCGGCCGAAGCTCCAAATATACCCATCAGTGTTTGCCATCAAAGCTCCAGCTCTCCCCGTGTCTCCTTTGAGTCGGTCACTTCTCCTGCATTGCTACACAGAAGTTTCCCCCACAGCCTTTACTTTAATTATTATATAAGGATTTGAGGCTTTGATTAGAATTATATTTTTGAATCTTACTGTGCAATTAAAAAATGCCAACACACCCTTTAAGGTATCGCACTCAGACAGAGAATGGTGATCTATATTTTCTTTAGAAGTGTGTCTAAAGAAAATATAGATGTGTGTCTAAATCCATATGTTGGGCATCAATGCCAAGTTAACTGTCTGTATCTGTTTTATGGTGAATGGTATCAGTTTTATTCATTTGATCTTTTTTTTTAATCAGTTGGCGTTACACAAAGGTATTAACCACTTAGGCAGAGTACAACTGCATTTTTAGTCAAATAGGAATCCAACCATTTGGAATAAAATGTACATTTACTCCCTACAATCATTGAATATTTATGATATTTCTATAAAATAAATAAATAATATAAAATATTAGAATGTGTTCATTCATTGTCAATAGCCTGGAGGATAATTAGCTGGGCCTTATGGCAGGGCAATAAGTTTAAGTTTTAAACATTGGCTAACAGCCAGTGTTTAAAAAAAAAATCATTAACACATGTGCTCATCAGAGTTTGGAGAAGTACTCAGATGTTGTACTTAAGTAAAATAAAAGTACCAGAGTGTAGGAATAGTCTGTTAAAAGTAAGTCCTGGTCCTGCAATAAAAATGTTACAAGCAAATAAGTATTAGCATCAAAATATACTTAACGTACTAAAAAGTAAAAGTACTCATCATGCAGATTGGCCCATTTCAGAAGAACATATTACATGTTTTTATTATAATAATGCATTGATGTGTTCATCAAAGCTGGTAAAGGTTCAGCTATATTAAATAACTTTGTATACTGCAGGCAGGGTATGTGAATTTACTCCAGGTGTAACTAAAGTCTGATTTAAGAGTTGATTATATTTCACATCATTAATCCAAACCTGCAAAGTAACTAAAGTTATTAAATAAATGTAGTGGAGTACACTATTTACCTCTACATCGTAGTTGGGTAGACGTACAAAGTAGCAACAAATACTCAAGTAAAGTAGGCCTATCTCCAAATTAGTTCATGTTACTTCACATCACGTCCAACAAGACGTACCCATGATTTGAACGGAGCACCTATGAGTCATGTTGTAAAAACTTCCTTCCCTCCCTCTTTTCTTCCTCACCCCGTCTCGCCCCCCTGAAACCCCACAACTATAACATCTGTTTGCACGGTTGCGCGTTTACGGTCTGACACACAGCAGGGCCGTCTCTGTTCAACCAATTACCGGCCGGTGTGTGTGTGTGTCTCTGGGCGGCCTCACTCTCTCTCTGCGCGAGGACAGACAAACAGTATCTGCGGGACAAACCGTTCACGACACTATACTCTGCGTCATGGGGTCTCCTGCGGCTCAAGCCTGCTGCGCATTGGTCTTGGTGTTACTGAGCTCAGCATCCGAGGGTTGGTACTGTTATTTTCCCGTTTGTTGTTGTTGTTGTTGTTGTTTTCATGATAGAAGTTGCTTCTTGACTCCATTTTTGTTCGTCTAAGCTGCTCTGCGGTCATTTCGCAGACCAGCTGACATTAATCCTGTCGCAATAAGGACTTGTATATCACAGTAGCCTACACGCAGAGGTGGGAAAAGTACTCAGACCTTGTACTTGAGTGAAAGTACCAGTGTGTAGGAATACTCGGTTACTAGTCAAAGTTCTGCAATCAAACATATTATTAAAGTAAAATAATGCAAACGTTTTAGCATAAAAATATACTTAAAGTACCAAAAGTAAAATAAGTCATTATGCAGATTGGTCCATTTCAGAATAATATTGTATGTTTTGATAATTATTGATGCATGAAAGTGTTATAAACGCTTGTAAAGGTGCAGCTAGTTTTAATGACTTTGTATAGGCCTACTGCAGGGTAGCTTGTGAATTTATACTCCAGGTGGAACTAAAGTCTAATTTAAGTGTTGATTATATTTCACATCATTAATCAAAATCTGTAAAGTATAACTCCTATTAAATAAATGTAGTGGAGTAAAAGTACACCATTTACCTCTGAGTTTTAGTGGAGTATAAGTACAAAGTAGCATACAATGGAAATACTCAAGTAAAGTACAAGTACCTAAAAATTGTACTTAAGTACAGTACTTGAGTAAATGTACTTAGTTACTTCCCACCAGTAAAACTTAGTCCAAGCACTTTAGTGCAACTTGAATATTATAAATGATAATTCTTCTTTATTCAGTGTCAATATTAAATGATGAGTCACTGACTAAATAAAGTGTTGTAATTAACATTACTCATCACATTGTCAATGATTGAGTACATTTCTCTGATGTTACATACAAAAGTTTACTTTAGTAACATTTGAAAGACTTTTGAATATAATGGTCACCACTGGTTCTCAGTATAATTTGTGCAATAACGGTTGCATAACTTTTAATGGCTTTCTGCCTCTTTCTCTTTCCCTCTCTCCCTTTCCCTCTTTCTCTCCTTCTCTTTGTGTTTAGAATTTCCAGAAGGGAAAGACTTCGAGCAACGCCAGGTCACCTTCGACGAAATCATGCAAGGTGCGAGTTCTCAATACTAGTGCAGTATCTAATCAAAATAATCTTAGATGTTCAGAGCGGGATTTTTTTCCAGCTCTTTAAAACATAAATCATATACCACATCATTATTTCTGTCCCTCTGGTGCCCTAATATGGGTTGACACTGGCAAATATATATATATTTTGTAAATCCTTGTTTTAAAATCGTTTTGTCTATCAGAAATGCAACTACCTGATGCATCAACCTGGCTGGTCCAGAAGATGGTCTTGACACCTAGAGGAGGTTCGTATTTTTCCTCCCTTGACTTTTAATTTAATTCACCTGTCGCTGTATTTGTATCAAATAACAGTATAATTCCTGTATTTTCCTCTAAGGTCGACCAAGTTTTGGGCCCCGTTCCGCTGGTGGTCCTCCACGGCTGGAATATCCTGTTGAGTTCCCCCTCGGCCAACCGACTTTCGACAATATCCAAGCCATCTGTATCAATGGAGACCATCGTCACCGCTACCCAGACTCGTACTTTCCTGTCAGTGGTTATGGGAAGTTGAAGCGAATGGCCAGTTCTGTCAACAAGTTAGAGTACCTCTTA